CTGTCTGTGACAGGTGTTCTTGCCCATGGGCAAATTCTCCTATCCCTTAGAGACATCTCCACCCCCTTCCTTCTAGAAGATGGCACAATAGCTACTGTGAAGACAGGGCTATTAAAAAGTGTCCCAGGAGAAACAGGCATATGGCAGAGACTGGCCAGTCCCTCACCTTGGAACAGATCAGAGATAATTTATAGATGAGGAAACTGAGGCTCTGTGAGGGAAGGGCCAGACTTTTCTATGCCAGAAGGCGAGTGGAGGGTCAGGAGACCCTCTAGCTGGTCAGCTGGGGAGAGTAAGCTGTAAGAAGGCTATAGGAGGATATATGAGTAGGTGACTGGGGTCCTGGGCTGTCTGCTAGTTAGGGCTCAACAGGTCCCTGTAAACCTCAGAGCCAGCCATTTCAGACATGAAGGAGAAAAGGTAAGAATCAAAGGATGGGGTAACGTCCACATGCTGGAAGGGATCCTCAGGTCTCATCCTCAGTTGCAAGAGGGTGCCCACTCCTGCCCTGTAATGAAGAAGGGCCTCCCCACTGCAACAGGTAGTCTTCCCCATCATGGGCAACCCTGCAGAGTCCAGATGCAGTCAGTGGCTTCCTCCCATCCTGTCAGGCAGGATCCTGAGCTGCTGCAAGGTGATGGAATATAAGCTTGGACCAAGAAATGGGGGTGGGGTGCACTTCACAGCTTCTCTAGAAAGACTCCACAGAGACCCCTAGAGGGGGAGTAGGAGCAAGACAGAAGTGAGAGTTAACTACCTAGACTGCCAGTCTTTTCCTTTAAAGTGATTCACTTTTTAATTTAATTTTTTATTAGTGCATATAGTTATACATAATAATAATTGGGTTAATTTTGACAAAAATCATATAAGCATGAAATTTGGTTTACTCATTTCAGTTCCTGGTGCCTCCTTGCCCCTCCTCCCTTCCCCTCTACTGGTCTTCCTTTCACTCATTCTTTTTTTTTTTTTTTTTTTTTAATTTTTTTGAGGTACCGAGGATTGAACTCAGGGGCATTGGACCACTGAGCCATGTCCCCAGCCCTATTTCATACTCTATTTAGAGACAACGTCTCACTGAGTTGCTTAGTGCCTTGCTTTTGCTGAGGCTGACTTCAAATTCAAGACCCTTCAGCCTCAGTCTCCAGAGACACTGGGATTACAGGTATGCACCGCCACACCCATCTCATTTGTTTATTTTTGATTGGTGCTTTATAGATAAATATAAAGGTGGAATTCACTGTGGTATATTTATACATGTACATAATTTTGTAAAATTCATTCTGCATTTCCTGCCTTTTCCCATCCCTCCTCCTTCTCTATTTTCTTGTTCTATTCCATTGATCTTCCTTATATCTTTATGATGTTCAACATCCTCTCCCCACCCCATGTACTCCACCTTTTGCATATGAGAAAAAACATTAGACCCTTGATTTTTGGAGTCTGGCTCATTTTACTTAGAAAGTGACTTACTTTTTAGAGGTAGACATTTCAATGCTTGTTTCAGTGTCAGCAATTCAAGAATTCATGAATTGAATCAATACATTTTCTGATACACATGAAAATACATAATTTTCAAAATTAAACATTCATTTGTGTAACTACATTGAAATGGCCTTGAGTTCCATGCTCATCTTACTGGGAAGCCCACCCTGGAGGTAGATGGTAACTTTTACTTCAGAGAGAAGAAAACTGAAGACCTGGCAGGGGAGGGCTCTGCTGCAGAGGATGGTTGAAAGAAGTAAATGTAAGAACATAGGAACCTGCATGACTTTCACATACAGTATGTGTGGCTGGGAACAGCTCCGCCTGCATTTAGCTGAGTGGGACCAGGTAGGGCTAGATCCAACTCAGCTAGCTGTTTGTCTTTGCCCCTGGTCCCTCTTATTCATAGAGGGATCTCTGCTCTTCACCCATCTCCTGGATGCTTTTGTTCTTGGTGATTTCCTGATTTCAGATGGCCTCTGCTGGCACACCAGACAATGTAAAGGGAGGGGAAAGAATTCAGGGTTCTCCCTACCTCCAACTAAGGGTCATAATATGACCACAGCAAAGTCACCGAGGAAAGACCATAAAAACCTCCAGTTCCTGATGGGTTGGAAAGCCTTCTAAATCCACGCCTCTGGCTTCACCTTGGCCTGAAACTAAGGTGCTAAAATCTTTAGATCTCAGAATTCCAACATCTGTTGAATTGAGTTCATGAATTGAATCAATACATTTTCTGATACATATGAAAATATATAATTTTCAAAATTAAACATTCATAATTCGTGTACTTGGTTTGATCCTTAGCCAGGTAGACATGTCTTTGCACTCTGGTCACAGCCTTTAGGACGGACACATTACTTGAATGTCGTGTGAATGCTATCAGTGTCTGGCACTGAATCGGTGGGGTCAAGATCCCAGGGGACCAGCCGGGATTAACAGTCGCGTAGCAGAGCCTCCTAGCACCCGGACGCGCGGGGTGGGTGAGTGCGAGGACAACACTGCTCGAGGTTCCGGGCGCTGGAAGAGTCAAAAAGTGTCGGTACGCCCCCTAGTGGGAGTTCTGGGGACAGATTTCTGCAGTCCTCGGCTCAACTCCACTCCTAACCCCGAGGCCACGTGACGGTCAGCCAACCTTGTACGGAGAGCAGAGACAGGGAATTCAGCTTGAACTAGAAGAGTTCGCGTCCCATTTCACAACCCCAACTTCATTCCCTGCTCTCCGCAAAATTTTTTTTGGATTTTGGTACCGGGGATTGAATCCAGGGGCGCTTTACCACTGAGCTACATACAACTCCAGACATTTTTAATTTATTAAATTTTGAAATAGGGTCTCGCTAAGTTGCTTACGGCCGGGCCCGATAAATTGCTGAGACTGGCCAGGAACTTGAGATCCTCAGCCTCGCGAGTCGCTGGGATTACAGGCGTGAGCCATCCCTCCCTGGCCCTGTCGCCCTGCTTAAGCCTTCGGTGGTTTGCGACTTTGGCTTGTGTTCCTACAGCTTTCATAACTGGGATCAGGAGCAGGGAGGGAGCAGCCTCTCCTTTCCAGGTGAGAGAGATCTTTGGTGCCACGAAAGAGGGCCGGGCTTGAGAAAAGCGCCTCTTTCAGCTGGGGGCGTGTCCCTAAGACTCCGCCCTAGACTCCTCCTTTAGCCCCTTGTGACTGGCTTTGCTGCATTCGTCCGGGGGACGAAGCGGTCTCTGACTCAGCTCATCCAAGTACCCCCACAGGCACCATGCCACGCGGGAGCCGAAGCGCGGCCGCCCGGCCAGCCAGGTGTGAAAAGGACAGGGACCCCATGGGGAGGAGGCTGGGAAAGTGCGGGCACTCTATCAAGGGCGTCCGTAGTGACCTTTATTGTTACTGCGCCATCTTGGTGGGGGGAGGGTCTGGGGGCAGCAGTCAAGTATCTAATTCGGGGGTCGCCCTCCTGGTTTTCCGGGAGTAAAGGCGGTCGTTTGCAGGAGCTACAGGGTCCTGAGAACCCTGGCCTAGGGTCCAGCAAGGATTAACCCTGCTTCCTCCTATCCCTGCAGTCGCCCAGCGGCACCTTCTGCCCATCCACCTGCACACCCACCGCCCTCAGCAGCAGCCCCGATTCCTGCCCCCTCGGGCCAGCCAGGTCTCATGACACAGATGGCATCCATGGCTGCTGGGGTAGCCGTGGGCTCCGCCGTGGGACATGTCATGGGCAGTGCCCTGACTGGAGCCTTCAGTGGAGGAAGCTCAGAGCCTGCCCAGCCTGCTGCCCAGCCTGCTGCCCAGCAGGTAAGCAGCAGGACCCAAGAGAAACTGAGGCAGGATTCTCTCAAGGCCACATAGGGAAGAGTGTCCAGTGGAGGTATACAGAGTTGCCTCAGGCCTAGGACTTGACTAAGGAGGGTCCTATTCCTCACTCTGCTGTTGAGCTCACTGTCACTTCATTGGCAGGCTCTGTCCCTCTTTGAGGGCAAGGTCCCTGTACTCTTAGGGACTGATACCAACCAGCCCTTTAAAAATGGGAAACCCAGGTTCAGTGGGACTCAGAGATTTACCCAAATTCACCTAACCCTAGTAGAGTGACAAGGGATGTTGAATTTACCAAGCCCTTGTTCTCCTTACCAATTCAGTATTGTAGCTGCTAGGCCCAATATGAAGGTCAGCCTGTGGTCATGGCTCCTGGTCTCTGATGACCTGTCCCCCACTGAGGCCTTACCAGTCCTGAACCAAATCCAAATGCCGCTTAGCAGTTAGGTCAAGGGTCATAAGGATCAGTATGGCTGAGCCAGGAGGTGGGGCTATTTTCAGAGTACATAAAAGATTGTAGAATCTTTTCCTCCTCCCTCCCTTGCTCCTCCCCAGCATGCCCAATGTGAGGCAGCAAGGAAACCCTGTGTGCATCAGTTTAATGACATTGAAGAGGGTGGCTGGCTTGCTGTTTCATGGATGTAGCATCTCAGCTGAGGTTAGACAGGGGCAGGTCAGACCTGGGATCTTTGAGGCAGCAAGACAGGATATGGGAAGAGGCAGGCAGCCCCCAGCTTTGGAACCTATCTCTAGGTATCAACCTTGAGCTGACCTTTCTGCCTGTCACACTCCCCCCTGCAGGCCCCTACCCGTGCTGCCCCACTACAGATGGGACCCTGCTCCTATGAGATCAAACAATTTCTGGACTGCTCAACCACTCAGAGTGACCTGTCCCTGTGTGAGGGCTTCAGTGAGGCCCTGAAGCAGTGCAAATACAACCATGGTGAGAAATTGGACCCTATCCCAGGTGGGGATTGAAAGGGGCAGACCCTCTTCTTGCACCTGCAAGCGACAACAGCCTATGCTGCTCCTTCCCTCCACAGGTTTGAGCTCTCTCCCCTGAACATGTTGGTGCAGACTCATTGGCCAGCTCTGAGATGGCTCCTGGGTCCTAACCCTGCATCCACCCTATCCCCTTACGGACAGCTGGACCACAATGACAGATTGTAACTGGGATTGGGAGTAAGAAGGAGGTTTCCTACCCCATAGATAACTCAAGACACAAATGTGCAATTAAAGAGTTTATTTTAAATCACAGCCTATTGTGTGTCCTCTTGCTGGCCTGTCTGCTGGAAGCACCCTAGATAATGAACTGGGATTAGGGGAGGTGGATGGATATCTCACTGTAGTGTGCTGTGTATCACCTGCAACAGACATCCTGGGTAGGGTGGGAAGAGTCCTGTAATAATCTGTACTTAGGGCAGTCAAGGGTGGACTACTTTGGGCAGCCCAAAGGGAGATGATGAGGCATTAGCAGGTGATCTCAAGAGCATCTGACTTTGGGGGCTGGAATCCCAGAAGAAGCCTTTTGTTTCTACCTGTCAAGGGCCTCTTCTGCCACCACCTTTTGTGCTTTTGTCTCTGGGCGCCTTTCTCTGCACCCACATCATAGGGGCTTTCCCCCTCAGGCCTCACAACCTTTCTGTGACCTTGCTCCTTTTAATGATGCAAAGTCTCAGTAATTCTGGATTGGGCAGAGGAATCTTGCTGGGCTGTTGTCTATTTGCATCTTATCACATGAGTCAGGTCATAGCCAGCCCCCTTGACTCCGAGTCCAGCTTGTCCACTTGGCTGTGGTATGCCAGGTCATGGGACCTGCTGGAACAAAGGAGCAGGCCCTTCAAACTCAGTGCAGATTGCTCTAACACACCCTGCTTCTGCCTTCCTTGGGTTCATTAAGCAACTTTGCATTGAGCACCTTCCATATTCTACATGCCCTGTTCTACATCCCCTAAGCACTGAGAACATTCCTGCCCTTAGGGTGCTTGCACTCCAGTGGGGTGATCCATCTGCAGTACAATGTGTAACAACCATCTTGAGAGCATAGGTATGCTTGGTTGGCACTGAGGGTCTGCTTTTCTTAGCACATATGTGTCTGCCTTCTGGTAAGGGGTTCCACTTCTGGGTGCCCATACCTCTTCCATACCTGGCTCCTGGCCCCAGCTAGCGAGTCCTGGATGGCAGGGAGCTCACCCTTCCAGCTCTTGAAGGGGGCTCTAGTTCTCGATGGCTACGCCGAGTGCTCATGCGTCTCCTCCGGCCATTACCCATGGTGGGGACGCCTGATAGCCAGCGCAGCTCCTCTGAAAGACCCAGGAAACCCTGATGGTGGGACTGGGGGAGAAGAAATGCCTTTCCTCCCAGGGTTCTACCTTGACACTTACCTGCCAGCTCCGGACACTGATCATCCAGGTTCTCTAGTAGGGACTCATAGCGGGTAGGTGCCCCATCCTCCCCCCCTGTGGAGTATGGAGAGAGAACAAAAGACCCCTGACTGGCCTGATGGTCCCTATCCCACCTCTTACTCTAGCTCTGTTTGTTGGCCAAAGCTGGGGGTCAGGACAGGGTAATGGATAGGGACAAGCTGGGGCTAGGTCCTGGTCAAAGTGAGGGCTAAGCAGGGCCTAGTGTGGTCTATGGCCTGCTGTCCCACCTTATATTCCAATACAACTGCAGGGGAGAGTCTTGGGTCCACTTACTGATGATTTTCACAAGGACATATGTCCCTCGTTCCTGTAGAAGAGGACTGCCCTTGGAGGAGGCTGGGGAAGTCTTCTCCTCTAGGTCCTCACCTAGGCTCACAAGTTGTCCATCCTCAGCTAAGAGGGCAATGGTTTCTGGGAAGGCATGGAGAGAGGCTGGGCAGGGCTGGCACCCTTGCATGGGGTCCCTCTGCTTCTCCTCCCCTGATCCCTCCCCATCTCCTTACCATCTGGGGGGACCTGCCCCCTCTGCTTTAAGTGGGCAGTGAGGGCCGTTAGGCTGCACCAGGGGTTCACCAGCTCCCCGCAGCCGGCTGTGGGGTAGGGGTAAAGGTGAGCAGGTATGATCCCCTACTTTCTCCGCAATCAGGGCCCTCTGCCACTTTCTCCCATTTCTCCCCTCCCTAGAGCTGCGACTAGGGCTATGGAACTAGGACTTACCCCAGGCACAGTAGTCCAGGCAATTTTGCATAAACTTCTTTGCAGACATCCATCCATCTTGACAGATGTGGATAACTGGGGCGCACAACTTAAGGTTCCCGCACGAGCCATACCCCAGCCCTGATCTAGGAACTAGCTTGGTGTCTGGCACGGGCCCCGCCCCCGACGGCCTCTTCGCACTGGAACTGCCCCCTCGCTCTAACCCCGCCTCCTACATCCCGCCGACCAGCTTCCCTCCAGAGGAGGAGTGAAAACAGCTTCAGATGAGTGTTGCGAGCTGAAGCTTGAGGGCCACAAACGGAATGGCAAAGCGATAGGTTCAAAAACGTGCTGCCTGGTGGCTTGGCAGCCCTTCCCGGGAGGGAATTATGAAGGCAGGACCCACCAGGATTTTCCCCAAGGGCCTCACTCCAGGTGCTCACTTTGCCTCCTCCTTATTTCGGCTTCTCGGAGCCCTGTATCCCTTCCCCATCTGCACATTTTCTTCCTGCCGCTGCTTTCCCACGGCAGAGGGAGGCATGCCTCTGCGTGTGACTCATCCCCACCGGCCTTCCAGGGCTGGGGAACCCCACTTACCTCCAAACATCACCGTGACAAACATGGCTACAGTGGGGAAGAGACGGATCTGTTGGGGCTTTGAGCCACCAACTCTGGACCTCCTCTCTCGGGAAATGCCTGAGACAGATCTACTCCGGGGTGAGGTTGGGGAGGTGTGTACAAATGCGGGTGGATGGGAGAGTGGTCCCTAGCCCAGATCCCTGCTCAGCCAGCCACCTGTTCAACTAGTCCAAGACCTCTGTCCTCTTTCTTCTGCCGCTCGCTGGGCCAGAGTAGCGTCCCCTAGCTCCCAAGCAGGTCTCCGAGGCAGCGGGAGTCGCCAAGACATCTAGGCAGGAAATGCCTTAGCCCCAGTATCCCGGTAACGGACCTGAAGGGGCGGGCATTCCTTGAGGCCGGGTTCTGGTCCCACCCACAGTGGGGGCTGGAGACCAGGGGTTCAGGGGTGCTCAGATGAGGGAGTCGGAGACCACATTCGGTTATCAGGGAGAGGCCCAAGCTGGAAGAGGTGTGTGTGTGTGTGTGTGTGTGTGTGTGTGTGTGTGTGTGTGTCCGTCGTCACCAATCTCTGCAGGCTACCAATTAGTTCAAGGCCATCTTCCTGTGTTTTCTTTCTCCTTCCTCTCTCAACTTTCACGTTCTTCTGCCCTTCTTTCTTGTTAGTCATGTTTATTAAGATAAAATTTGCAAACAGTAAAATTTGCTGTTTTTAATGTTTTTGAGTTTTAAGAATTCTCATATAACCATCCATCACAGTCAGGATATAGAACATTTCCATCGCCACCCCAAATTCCTTTGTGCCTCTTTGTAGTTGTGAAAGTTGTCAGAATCAAAATGGAGTCACTTTTGTGGAGCCTTGAACACCCGTCTCCGAAATTAATAAAGTTGGGAGGTTTACAGAGGAGGGAATCTTACCTATGCATGTTTGATAATAAGAACTGTTCACGAAAGTCTCTGCTGGAATCACAATCTTGTACAAAGGCTACCACAACCTTACACAGAAATAATTCTGCACAGAAATATGCCCAACAACTGTGTATTTAATCTTGTACTGATGCCACCCTTGTTATTTACACTTCTAGCCAAGGATTATTATTTAAAAATATTTTATGTAATCCATTTCACCTTCAAAAACTTCTTGCCTCAATCTCCTTGTATATGCTGGTAGTTAACTATGGATCATTTATTTCTATTGCAATGTTACATTCCCAGATAAAGTAATCTTTTCTTTTCTCTTTTGTATTGGGGATTGAACCCAGGGGTGCTTAACAGTTGAGTCACATCCCTAGCTCATTTATTTTTCGAGATAGGGTCTTGCTGAGTTGCTGAGGCTGGCTTTGAGCTTATGATCCTCCTGCCTCAGCCTCCTGAGTCCCTGGATTACCGTTGTTCACCATTGCTCAGCAATAAACTTAATCTTTAGGGAATCTCTAGTTGTTATTTCAGTCAAAATAGTTCCTGCTCTGTTTTATGTCCTTTCCTTTTCCAGTATGTTCTATAAATGGAACCATACAGCATGCAGCCTGTTGTGTCTGGCTTCTTTCATTCAGCATGATGCACTTGAGATCCATCAAGGTTGTTGTGTATATCCTTATTGCTGAGGAGTGCTCCATTGTCCGGATTCACGTCCTGTCATTTTGAGTTTTTTTCCATTTGGTGAGATTTGCATAAAGTCAGTTAGATATTTGCTTATAGGTTCTGTGTGCACAAAAGTTTTCATTTCTCTAGTAAATACCATAAGAGGGATTGCTGGGTCATCTAGTGAATGTATGTTTAAATTTACAAGAAACTTCCAACTGTTTTCAGCCTGTCCTCACTGTTTTGCATTTTCCTGCCTTCTGTCTTGTTGTTTCTGGGTCTCCTGGATCAATAACAGGTCATAATTGCCTCTTTAGTTCTCACTACTAGTTAGTCCCTCTTATCAGCTCTATTTATTTGCAGTGCTGGGGCTCAAACCCAGTGCCTCACACATGCTAAGCAAGTGCTTTAGCACTGAGTTACATTCACCCTAATCTTCTCACTAGCTTTTGCCATATTCCCTGTCCCTTATATCTATTTGTCTGTCTCTCCTCCTTTCCTTTCTGTTTCCTCTCTTTCTTTTTTTATGGTCTCACACTTAACCTATTGCACTGCATCTACATCTGTGTTCATCCTTCCTTTGACTTTTTTCTTTGTTTCTCTTTGTCATTCTCTTTCCTTCTTGCCTACTGCATCCCCTCTTTCTGCTTCTTTTCTCACCCCTCCCCATTAACCTCCATCAGACCCCTGTAAGTCAGAGTGCTAGTTTCAATTCATGATCAGTTGTCCCCATTATTCTGGGCCTGTGGTGAGGCATCAGATCATGGTGGGAGAGTGTGATGGAGGAAACTGCTCATCTTATGTTGACTGGGAAGCAAAGTGAGAGTTAGTAAGGGAATGGATTCCTACTATCCTCCCAGGGTATGTCCCCAGTGACTTGAGACCTCCCACTAGGCCCCCTCTTAAAAGTTTTACTATCTTCTGATAGTACCTACCTGAGGACCAAGCCTTTATTATCTGGGCCTTTTGGTGACATTGCAGATCCAAAATGTAGCACTTAATAAATGCAGTGTGCTCAACACTGAAAGCATATATCCTATCTTTGCATCTTCATTGCTTTCCAGCTTCCAATGTGCTTATATGCATTTCAGATGGTGAAACTGAGGTACAGGAAGGAAAAATAACTTGGCTAGAATCATGCAGTTGAGATCAGAAGCTGAGATTCTAACCCGTAGTGAAAACCATTTCAGCTTTCCTCCATCTGGCCAAGGAAAGGGACTGACAATGTCAAGGCTAGTGAGGATGTGAAGTCACTAGAACTCTTATCCTGCTGGTGGGAGTGCAGATGGCTACAACCATGTTGGAAACCTTGGCAGTGTCTAATAAAGCTAAATGTGCACATCCTCTACCACTTGGCAATTTCACTCTGGGTAGCTCTACATTAAAAATGACAACACAAGTGCACCAAAAGACATTGACAAACATGTTCACAGCAGTTTTATTGGTCCTGACCAAAGACTGGAAAGCTTCCAGATATCTAATAATAAGAGAATGGATAAAATGGATAAACTAGTTGTGGTACCTTCACACAATAGATTAAACACAGCTATGAGAACTTTGAATTACATATTGCTGTACACACAGGACTCTCATAATGTTGGGCAAGAGAAGTAGGTTCACACACACATATCCCACTATAATTCCATTTATAGTAGAAGTTCTAAAGAAGGCAAGATTAATCTAAAGTGATTGAAGTCAGAATGATGGTTCCCTTGGGGGATTATGTTAGTCAGCTTTCTGTCATTATTACAAATACCGGAGATAACCAACCTAAATAGGAAAGGTTTATTTTGGCTCATAGTTTTGGAGGTTTCAGTCCATGACTCTGTTGCTTTTCAGCTTGTGCTGAGGCAGCACATCATGGTGGGGAGTATGAGGTAGAGCAAAGCTACTCACCTCAAGGCAGTCCAGGGAATGAAAGAGAGGAAGAGGAAGGAGCTTGGGTCCCATTTATCCCCTTTAAGGTCACACCCTCATTGATCTGACGGTCTTCCACTGGGGTCTACCAATAGAGCCAAGCCAGGGACCAAGGCTTTAACACATGGGCCTTTAACAGACATTTTAGATCTAAACTATAGCAGGGGTGGAGGCTGTTACTGATTGGAAAGGTGCTGAGGGGCCTTCTGGGGCCATGAAAATGTTCTAAATCTTGATCCAGATGTAGGGTTTCAGGGATGTTTGTATTGTGTGTGTGTGTGTGTGTGTGTGTGTATGTTATATTACACGTATATACACCATATATAAATCTGTGTGTATTAAATATAAAATCATCAAACTATATGGTTAATATTTGTGCACTTTCCTTTAGTCTGCAGCCAGCACAGATGGTGTAAGTGGTTCGGTCATGCGGGAAAATCCTCAGGGAGTTTAAATTAAAGACACAGACTCCACTTTACCTTTAAACCAGCTCCTGGATGGCTCCTCCTCGAACCCTCAGCCTCAAACTTCCCAGGGGAGCAGCGAAGTTTTACTGAAGAGGCTAGGGAGAGAGAGCAAGCACGCTAGGGAGAGGGCTTTTATTGGGGAACAAAGAATTCTGGGGAAAATCCCATCCAGTGAAGGTCAAGGGGGGCAGTGTTGCAAGGTTAGGTGCGGTGATTGGATCTTTGGGGCAGTGGTGAGACATGCCTCCACACTGACAAGCTCTCAAACTCAAGAAGGGTGATGAAAGCTCTTTACCACATTAAAAAGTGACTGAGCGGGCTGGGGATGTGGCTCAAGCGGTAGCGCGCTCGCCTGGCATGCATGCGACCCGGGTTCGATCCTCAGCACCACATACCAACAAAGATGTTGTGTCCGCCGAGAACTAAAGAAATAAATATTAAAAATTCTCTCTCTCTCTCTCTCTCTCTCTCTCTCAAAAAAAAAACAAAAAACAAAAAAAAGTGACTGAGCGCCTCACACCCAGCCGGGGAGGAAACTCAATCACATGCAAGGATGATCTCCCACACTTTCCTGTATATCAGTTGTATCTCAATGAAGAAACAGATTCTAAGGCTGGGAATGTGGCTCAGTGGTAGAGCACTTGACTAGCATGCTTGAGGTTCTGCTTTGTATCACCAGTGCTACAGAAAAGCAGATTCCAATCTCCTGCTATCACTCACTTGAGGATTTCCAAGCTTCTGAGCTCCCAATGTCCTAGTGTCAGGATCCTGACATTGGGAAGATAGGGCCTGGCCATTGGCCCCAGCTATACCCCTCCCTTCTCAGTCAATGGACTGATTTGCATGCCTTGTTGTGGTCCAGCAACCTGCTTGGCCCTGTGCCCCTAAGCACCTAAGCTTAGTAGAAAGACTGCCAGCCCTCCTGTCTCTGGCCATGGTCTGCCCCAGGTGCCTGGTCCTCCTTCTGATGGGAGTCTTCCTAGCAGGTGAGTCTTCCCTTGGCCTGGCTTATTTGAGAATGGGGTGGGGGAGGCACTAGCCCTAGAAGGCCCCTGCAAGGAAGCAAATCTATAGGGACTATAGGGAGGGTCCTGGGAGAGGCATTCAGGTGAAGAGGAAAGCTGGATCCAGGCAGCTTTGCCACTGACCTGGGGTAAATCTTTTTCCTTGTGTGGGCCTTGGTTTCTCCATTTGTAAATGATCAGATTGCCAGGGGTCCCTTAGGACTCTTATCCTTTAGGGTCTTAGGAGAATGGAGATAATCACCTTAGTTTTATAGAGGAAAGGGATAATAGAAAGCTACTATCCTACAAGGCCTCAGAGGCAACCTAACACTGAAAATGTCCTGAGAAGCCAGTGGACTGAGACTGAGCTGACAGGTGGTGCAGCCTAGAGTTTCCTGGGGTGTAAGCCTATAACCAGAGTTTGTGAAACAGACAGGGAAGAATCTTGAGAGAAAGGGAGCTGGACATCAGAAATACCCAGAGGGCACTAGTCCAATACTTTGAATGCTAGGCTTTCAAATGAACATGGATTTTTTTGGGACATGGAAGTAACAATGACATCAGGATCACTGGTTCCAAAGCCCTTACTCACAGAGAGAAATGGAGGCCTAAAACAACACCATAAGTCACATGGAACAAGGTTTGCTGCACCTGATTCAGTGCTAGTCCTACCACACTAGGTTATGAACCCTTTGGGAATGGGCATCTCTTTGAGGTCTGACTGAGCCTTCATAGGCAGGGGCAGGAGGGAAGGGGCCCAGGCTGGGCCTGAATGAATCTGTATTTCTTAGTGTCCCAGCCAGTTCTGGCCCAACCGGATGCACTGCTGGTCTTCCCAGGCCAAGTGGCTCAGCTCTCCTGCACGCTCATCCCCCCACATACCACCATTGGGGACTACGGTGTATCCTGGTACCAGCAGCGGGCAGGCAGTGCCCCCCGTTACCTTCTCTACTACCGCTCAGAGGAGGACCACCACCGGCCTGCTGGCATTCCTGACCGATTCTCAGCTGCCAAGGACGTAGCTCACAATGCCTGTATTCTAACCATCAGCCCTGTGCAGCCTGAGGATGATGCAGATTACTACTGCTCCGTTGGCTACGGCTTTGGTCCTTAGGGGTGGGATATGGAATGAATTTCTCCTGACTGCCTACCACTTCTGCCTCTGACCTTTGGAACCTCTCTTTCTCCGAGCCTTCCTCTGTAAAATGGGCTAATAACATTCAACATGTCAATAACAGCCATGAAATTCTGGCTGAAAAAGTGATTGTGATTGGTCTAGGACTATGTGTGTGTGTGTGAAGGGTGGGGGCTGGTTTCTGGGGATGGCTGCTGAAAAGGAAACACCTGAGACCCTTGGGGAGTGGCCAGCCCTGCCCCTGGCCCCCAGAGGCTCAAACTGGTGGCCTGGCTTTCCGGGGACCTGGGGTGCTAGAGAGAGTGAAAAAGGAACCAGCCCTTGCCACCCCCGGCTCTGCATGGCTGGCTGATTGTGGTCCAACGCTCACAAATCTGGTGGCTGGTCCCCATGGACCAACTGGTTTGGGGAGGGGCAGACTCTGTCTCCCTACCTGGTTTTTGCCGAAGGCTTCACTTATCCTTGAGATAGCCAGGTGTGTGTAGGTGGTGTGGGACATGGAAGAGACTCTGAGGCATATGAGGGCTAGAGCTGAAGTATTGAAGGAGGAAGGCAGGCAGAAGGCAAGAGCAATATCCCCCCTCTTGGGAACAGTGTGTTCTCTTGAGGGAGGCTTCCCCACAGTCTGAGCAGATACATCAAGGGATGGAGCAACTGGACAGAGAGGGTGAGCTGACAGGTAATGCAGCCATCAGAAGCCGAGTTGAATGTCTGGGAAGGGGCATGTGCACATTCAAAAACACAGCCTTGCTGGGCATGGTGGCTCATACCTGTAATCCCAGGTATCTGGGAGGCTTGGGAGTTTGAGCATAGCCTGAGCAACTTACTGAAATCCGGTCTCAAAATAAAATAAAAAGGGCGCAGGAGTTGTGGCTCAGTGGCACAGCGCCTGCCTCGCACACGTGAGGCACTGGGTTTGATCCTCAGCATCCCATAAAAATAAGTAAACAAAATAAAGATATTGTGTCCATGTATAATTTAAAAAATATTTTAAAAATAAAATAAAAAGGGCTGGGGTTGTAGCTCAGTGCTTGCTTATCATATGTGAAGCTCTGGGTTCAGTCCCCAATATGGGAAAACAGACGTCCCTCAGTCTGGAGATGTAATTAAGTGGTAAGTGCTTGCCTACCTTACACAAGGCCGTGAGTGTAATCTCCAGCACAAAATAAAAACAAAATAAAAAAGCCCAAATACATTATTCTTCCTTCCTGGTGCCCCAAGATTAACCTCGTGTCTGGAGGTCAGCACAAAGATGTACAAAGTTCCTGTCTCTGTGGGGAAGGGGCAGGCCCAGATCTAATCTGGGTGGTGAATGCAAACCGGACCCCTGGATCAACAATTCTGAGAGGAAGGTCAACAATTCTGAGACCTTCCTCTCCTTATCCTGAAGGCCTCTGTTGCATACAGCCCCAGGGTAAGTCGAACAGGCGCCTGTGGCTCTAGATCTGCCACCTTTCCCGGCCTGTTTCCTCCCAGTACTCCGACCAAAGCTGGCACAGCTGTTTTTCCCACGGCCAGACTCCCAAATGGGACCGCCGGAATCACCGCACCGCCCAGAAGCGACTCTCCTGGCTGTTCCGGTGCCTCTGGATCGTGGTAGCTGAAGCGTACAGCAGGACCACCGAGACGTTGGGACCTCCACGCTGACTAGAGCGGTCCCGGAAGTGCTCGGGGGCAGGGGGCGGGGCTCCAGGCACTCGGGCGATCTCTGGCTCCGAGTCAGCATCTGCGGCGGAGTGAGGCAGCGTTTGCCGGGGGTTGGAGCAGCTCAGGTGTAGCCCCGCCCCTCCCGCGGCCCCGCCCCGGCCCAGGTGAGCCGCCTCGCCCCGCCCCGGCCCAGGTAAGTTGCATCGCGTCCGCTAGTGTGACCCAAGTCTTCCTGACCACCTGTCCCTCGGGTGTCCCCGCGTCTGGGTGTCCCTAATCGGTAGGAAACCTGTAGGGGCGCTGGGGAGCGCCTGTGGGTCTGCGGCCGCTCCCGGGCCTCCAGTCAGGAGACCCTGACCGCACTAAGGGTTTGCCAGGTGCCCAGGACCTAGGGGCTACCTGGAGGCTGGGGTGACGAATGCAAGAGGAGCTGGGAAAGGCACCGAGAGAGTTGGGAAACATGGAGTTTCCAGACCTTTGGATTTTCGGTCCAAAAACATGTAACACATTCTTGGGGATAGATAAAGGGTTACTAATTTTTTTTACTCCGAGTGGAGACTTGGCGGGTAGGGACTTCTTAGTAACGAACAACCTCTAAGGAGGCAACCTTGGCAATGCCAGGAGTTAACAGGTGGGTGGAGGAAGAGTTGCAATCCACAGATAATCAGGCAGGAGGGATCAGAGGGTATGAAAATTGTGGAGCAAAAACTTGGAGAAGCCAAGGGAATAAAGGAGGGATGGGGGACGATGGGGACAACTTAAAAGTTTTCAGGTACTTAGGCAGGCAACGTGGGTTAGTGAAAGGGTGGGCCCAGATTGCCACATTTTCCAGGTTTTCAAGAGGAAGTAGGGACTTACTGAGTTTTAAATATTGACCATTAAAGAAAAGTCCAACTCTTTATGTGCCAAACAAAATGTGTCCGTGTGTCGGTATCCCCAGGCTTGACAGTTTATACCTTCTGAAATGTTCGGTTTGAGGAGGTATTGATTAGCAATGCCAGATGGGGTGGGAAGATGAGGACTAAGAACAGAGATATTTGGCAAATAAGGTCATTGGATGCTAGTGTTGAGTGCTGAGGTTCCAGCTGAAACTGAAAACTTGGTATCTGTTGTGGTTTCTTGCATGGTGGTATGATTTTCCTGGGCAACACTTAACATCTTAATTGTTAGGGAAGGTTGGGAGTTAGCAAGCTTATTGCTGCAATACAAAGAGGTGAGGAAAAGAGGAAAATGATCCTGGCTAGAGAGTGGAAGGGAAGCTCATAGTTAGATCTACTGTAGAGAGAGAGGGTCTGAGCCAGATAGCAAAGGGGTGGAACTCAAAAAAGAGAACCTGGTGTAAATGAGGGGTTATTGAATTTGAGGTGATCAGTAAGCCTAGGCTGAGTGAGAAGGATTGGACACTGTGGGCTGTTGAAGAGGAGAGGAAGGGTAAGAGGAGTTAAAGGGATCAAAGGATTTTTGAGAATACTTTAGTTCTGTGCTTTGCTATGTTTTACCCCTACTCCTGGCTGAAACTTTTTTTTTTTTTTTTTAAATTCTGGGGATTGAATCCAGGTGCGCTTAACCACTGAGGCACATCCCCAGCCCTTTTTATGTTTCATTCATTGCTAGGTTGCTGAGGCTGGTTTTGAACTCATGATCCTCCTGCCTCAGCCTCTTGAGCTGCTGGGAGGGATTACAGGTGTGTAACACCATGCCGGGTGGCTGAAACAAACAAGCATACAAAATTTCTACCTGGGCACGGCAGCTCGAGAGCCTGAGGCAGGAGGATCATGAGTTCAAAGCCAACTGCAGCAACTTAGTGAGAACTTGTCTCTAAATAAAACATAAAAGGGACTGGGGATGTGGTCCAGTGGTTAAGTTCAACTGGGTTCAATCTCCTGTACCAAAAAAAAAAAAAAGTCCAAATAGCATGAATTCCATGGTGACCATCTGATTAATTTAGTATTTTTTTGAGTCAATTACTCTCTAAGCTTCAGAGGAAGAATAATACATTTTATAGAGTTGTGAGGAATAAATGAGATATGCTTGTGAAAGTCCTAGTGTTTTCCAGCACATAGTGGGAAACTGTGAGTTGTGTTGCTGTCATAATCCCATCACTTGAGGACTTCCCATTCATCTAGCAGATAAGTTTCTGAATGGGGTGCTGAGGAGCACTCTTAGGGGACACTGCAGTGGGTTTGAGAGCTGAATAGTCTAACTCCCTTCTTTGTCCCTGCTACAATACCCTTCTTCCACTGGAGCAATTCTGCTTCTGTCTCTTTTATTGGTTTTTATCATCTAGGCAATTATTTTTTTTCCTGTTTTGATTTTCTCTTTTTTCTCCTAAACAATTATTTGAATAAAATATTTTTTTGGCAAAAAAGAGAAATGTGTGGCAGTTGTAGCACAAAATCAGATAACTTTTCTTCCTTTTGATCATTTATTCAACTATTGTGTACATGGGATTGTATTGTTATACTGGGGATTGGGGATTGCATGGTGAGAGAACACAGTATTTGCCCTTAGGGAGCTGGAAGGCCAATGGGGAAGAGAGTATTATAAATATGCATTATGGTGGGTATACCCATCACCTCAGGTCATGAAGGGGGCATGTCTCAGATAGTCAAGAACCTAAGGGTGCAGAAAAGAGTGGTTATTTGGACAGAGTATGGAAGGACAAGCAAGTGGCAATCTAAGAACAGAGGAAGGACCTTTTGGGAAAATACAAAAGCAGTACAAATGAATGTTGAACTGGAAAGTTGGTATGTGAGAAAGAGACAGGAGAGAAGACTGAGGGACCAGGTGTGAAGGCCCTAATGAAGGAGCTGGAATGTTAGAAGATCCAAGAATGAAAAGGACTCTGTCAGGCTTGTGCTTTGGGTACTTCACTCTGGTGCTAGTATAGACCATGGACCAGGGGGAAGGATAGAAGCTGTAGGTAGGTAGCTGGTTAAGAGGTGAGTATTGAAAAAATCCTGTGGAGTTGCAGTCAGGCTTGATCTGCATAGTGGCAAGTGAGGGCAGAGGGGAGAGACCCTTTGCATGCTACCTGAGGAAGACGACAGGATGGGCCAGGTGGGGCAATAATGGAGAGGGTCTAGACTAACTCCTAGGGTTCTGATTGGCACCTGATTGGTGGCTATGTCATTAACCTAGGGTAGGAGAGAAGTTTTGTCTCTCCTAAGAAAATCCACCCACAGCATTGTCATGTAGCTGGAGACTTGCCTTCTTTTCCACAATGGCTCCACTTCCTCTTTTAACCTACCTTTGTTTCAGCCCTTAGAGTCTAGACACATGATGTGGCATTTGATTGTGTCTATTTGTTTTGCTTACAGTTGTTTCTGGTAAGTGAAACTTGTCATCTTAAGGGCAAGATTTTTTCAACCATAGAGTCTAGCACAGGAAGGAGGTACCTGACAGTTGTTTGATTTGCTGACTTGACAACATCCCTTGTGTTATTTTCAGATTGTGAGAACAGTAAAGGTGACCCAAAGAAGAGCATTTTTAAAGATACACAGTCATTGGGGGTGATACCAGATTCACAATGGAGGTTCCCTCAGCAACGAAGTTTGGTGAGACCTTTGTGTTTGAGGACAGGCAAGAACTTTTCCCAGGGGAGGACCTGGGGCACCCTTTTCTTCAGGAAAGAGGTTTGGAACAAATGGCTGTTATCTACAAGGAGGTCCCTCTTGGGGAGCAAGATGTGGAACAGGATGATTACGAGGGGAATTTCAGTCTGTGCTCAAGCCCTGTTCAGCATCAGACTATCCCCTCTGAAACCAGACCCCAGGATGAGGAGATATTTGGTGAAAGCTTTCTCCAGAAATCTGACCTCAGTGTATGTCAGATAATCCATGGTAGAGAAGAGTCCAGTCCACCTGATTGTAAGGAAGCAGGCAGGGGGTCCTTGGGGACTAAGGTATCTCACAGTATCCCACAGCCAGCCAAACCCTATGCATGTCATGAGTGTGGGAAGGCCTTCAGCCAAAGCTCCCACCTTCTCCGACACCTGGTCATCCACACTGGAGAGAAGCCCTATGAGTGCTGTGAGTGTGGGAAGGCCTTCAGCCAGAGCTCCCACCTTCTCCGACATCAGTTCATCCATACTGGGGAGAAGCCCTATGAGTGCCAGGAGTGCGGGAAGGCCTTTCGCCAGAGCTCAGCCCTCACACAACACCAGAAAATCCACACAGGAAAGAGGCCCTATGAGTGCAGGGAATGTGGGAAGGATTTCAGCAGAAGCTCCAGTCTCCGAAAACATGAGAGAATTCATACAGGAGAGAGACCTTATCAGTGTAAGGAATGTGGGAAATCCTTCAATCAGAGTTCAGGCTTGAGCCAGCATCGGAAAATCCACACTCTGAAGAAGCCCCACGAATGTGATCTTTGTGGGAAAGCCTTTTGTCATAGGTCCCACCTTATCCGGCATCAGCGGATTCACACAGGGAAGAAACCTTACAAATGCGAAGAGTGTGGGAAGGCCTTCAGCCAGAGCTCCAACCTCATTGAACATCGGAAGACCCACACTGGTGAGAAACCTTACAAGTGTCATAAGTGTGGGAAGGCCTTCAGCCAGAGCTCATCGCTTATTGAGCATCAGCGGATCCACACGGGGGAGAAACCCTACGAGTGCTGTCAGTGTGGCAAGGCCTTCTGCCACAGCTCTGCACTGATTCAGCACCAGAGAATACACACTGGCAAGAAACCCTACTCCTGCGAATGTGGAAAGGCCTTTCGGCACAGGTCAGCTCTCATTGAACATTATAAAACCCACACCAGAGAAAAGCCCTATGTGTGTAACATGTGTGGCAAATCCTTTAGGGGGAGCTCACACCTGATCCGGCATCAGAAAATCCATGCTGGGGAGAAGCTGTAGAAGGGGGAGCTTGGAAGCCTTTGCCAGATGGAGCCTTTTTCCAGATGTTGAAAGCCTTTGCCAGATGGAGCCCATACATACATTTTTTTTTTGACTCTTAGACTCCACCTACCTCCCTGATAACAATGCTGGATGGAAATTCTCCCACAAGGCCCTCCTGACCATTCCCCCCAGCAGGAAGGTTCTACATGACACCTGACCAGGCACACCATGCTCTCAACAGGCTTCCTGGGTGAAGGGAGGATGGAACAATAGGGAAGTGAGCCCCCAAAGAGAACAGATTTTCAGTTTTCTCATTCTCATTTTGACTCTCAAGCTTATGAAATTTTGTTTTGCCCTCTCTTCATTTTTTTTTCCAAGTATAAAAGAAGAAGAATTTCAAGAGGCAGAAAATTTAGTTAAGCCCAGGAAAATGTCAAATGAACTTTAAATCAGTCTGCCTCAGTCTGACACTTTCAGAAGTTAGAAACCATGCTTACAGTCCAAGTCAGCTGAAGAAAATGAATTCAGTAGATAGAGCAGAGGCAAAATAAAATTGTCTGCCAGGGTTGGGCATTAGGGAGAACCAAAATAGGTTAATAGGACAAAGGAGGGTTAGAGGGATTGGGAGTGACAGCAGTGAGCCCCTATAACTTAGCCCTTATAACTTAGCCCTTATAACTTAGCATTAGGGTAGATTCTGTCAGGTGGCTCTGTCATAAGAGGGTGGAAATTTGGTCCTCTTGTGGGCAAGTATATTCAACATCTGGCTGTGACTTAGCTGGGGATGTTGGAAGCAGGTGATGAGAGGAAGAGGCTGGTTCAAGTCCCAGGACTACTCCATCCTATTTGTATGACATTGAGCAAGTCCCATAACTTGCCCCAGGGTCTGTTTCCCCTTCCAAGGGATTGGGGTGATGAAACCTGGACACTTACCTCTAAGAGTAGGAACCAGGCTATACTTGAAAGTGTTTTGGCAGTTGAGAATGGAGAACCTTAGTGACCCCTACCTACCCAGAAGCACATTCCCTGCAGACCAGAGAAGTGTCCCACATACTGATGCTTTCTCTTAAACACCGTCTTGAGCCTTCTGCTGCAGCAGTGTCATCCATGCTCCTGTATTCTCTGTCCTAACTGGAATTCACCTAGGGGCTATTTAAAAAGTGCCCTTACCCATGTCCCACCTAGAACAATTTAATCGGCATCCCCAGAGTTGGGTCCCTGACAATGTTTTTTTTTTCAAAACTCCCCAGGTAATTAGAAGTTACAGTGTGTGGCCAGAATGGGAGCCCTGTGTTGAGCTTTCATGCAGCCCCAACAGCATTTAATGTCAGCCTGCTTGCTCTGGCCAAGCAAACCTGTTTGCCATTCTGTCTCAGTTTCCTACCCCCAGTCCCCTGAGTATGAGCTCAGGCAGTGATGATTGGCCAATAAATAAGCCCTTGTCCCTGGCCAGGGAATACCCCCTTGATTTTCGTGGTGCTGGGGATTGAACCTTGGCCTTGAACATACTAGGTGAGTGCTCTACCACTGAGCTACATCCCCAGCATCATGGGGTATATTAGTGCTGGCTATCCCTCTTTCTAGGCTCCCAGCTTCTCAGAGGTAGTGGAGAGAGGCAATCTGAGCTGTTTTGAAGTTTTCCAAAAGTTTACTTACCACTGGAATCAGATGAATTTATCATGGTGATGCTGGTTATCTCAGTTTTTCAGAAGCTCAGTGTGGCATTTATATATAGTTTTGATTAATAAATATGGAAAGCTGTATTTGTTCTTTAATAAGTGGGGCTTGGTAGGCCAGAGGTTTGGAACCATGGGTGTGATAGACTGGAGAAATCCCGCTAAGAGTTCTGACTGCCCAGTGTCCCCAAGAATCCTGTGCATAACCAGCTGGACTCTGGAGGTTCAGGGCTGACAAGTGGTCCCAGGTGCTATTTACAGGTAGCTTTCACTCAAGGTCTTGTCATTTATCAGAAGTGAAGAGAGAATGCTAAGAAACAGTTGGGGCAGCGGGTGGCATTAGGCAGAGTCCCCTGAAAGATCTACCTCTTTTTTACTACCCATCCCCATTCCACCTCAGCCTTGGTCATCCTGTCCTTGTCCAGGAAGCGTCCATCAGGGTCTCTCTCTGCTTTTCCTGTGTGTTCTAGCCAAATTGATTTCTAAGCACCACTTTGCACATGTCACCATTCTCCTTAAAGCTATCTTTCAGGAGCTTTTCTGCACATAGATCCTTATTTCAGCCAAACTGATTTACCTCCTCTGAAAAAGCCACACAGAATTCAGGCTGTTTTTTGCCCTCTCTTTTCATACCTGGGTTCATAATTCACTTTATGCAGTTCTCACTTTTGGAGTATGCACTTTCTATCTCCTCTTCCTCCCTCCCTCCCCCTTTCCTTTCCTTCTTTTTATATAACATAGGAATTAACTCATCCCCCAAGGGTTAACAGATTCTTCTGTAAACATGGTTAGACCAGGCACTTTTCTATTTTTCGGATGTATGTATAAGCAAAGCCTTGTTTTGTTTTTCGAATTTTTTCACTGTTCTATTGTGTATTTTTTAGAACTCTCTTTTTATTTAGATTCCCAAACAATGTAAAGTTATAATAAGATATGGTCCCTGGTAATAGTTTAACTGTTTTTTAATCGAGTTGTCTGTTTTTGCTTTACATTTTTTCTCTTCTTCCTACAGTGATTTATATAGATGTTGTTGAGTGTTATAAAACTCCAGTTTTTGATTTTGTTTGCTAATTTGTTTTGTTAAAACATGTTTTCTCTCTTTCCCCCTCTCAGCTTAATACTTTCCAATTCTAAGGTTAATCATTTAGATATGATTAATCATTCATATATATATATATATATATATATATATATATATTTTTTTTTTTTTGGTACCAGGGATTGAACTCAGGGGTGCTTAACCACTGAGCCACATCCCCAGCCCTAGTTTGTATTTTATTTAGAGACAAGGTCTCACTGAGTTGCTTAGCACCTCATAGTTGCTGAGGCTGGCTTTGAACTCTCGATTCTCCTGTCTCAGCCTCCCAAGCTGCTGGGATTACAGCCACTGTGACTGGCTGATTAATCATATTTTTATTATCATTAATAAATGTAGGCACTTTGGTCTATGGTTTTCTCATTATAGTCATAGCTTTGTTTGCTCTCTATGTACGTTTTGATGTTTTGTTTTGTTTTTTTTGGGGGGGGGTTGTTATTATAGCATTGGAAATTTCCTTTTGGCCCAGATGTTTTCTAAAAAATATTCCCAGTTGTTTAATGCTTAGGTCTTTGCTGCTTATTTCTTGTACTGTATTATCAACATTTCTAAATGTCCATAGAACTGCTTTGGGCCAGGGTATATTATCAACTTTTATAAAGCATTTGTGTTCTCTCAAAAACTGTTTTTATTTCATCAGTTCTATTTGTCAACTCAATTTTTGGATTATTTAATTCAAATCCATACTCTGTATAAATTTCATTTATTTTAGAGATTTTAATCTGGGGTCTAAGAGACTACCTGGGACTAAGCATGAAGGGGATTTAGGAGCCCCTAAGAATTGAACAAGTTGTGTGGGTTTGTGGATTAATGGATTGTTTTGGGAAGGGGCATATAGCATCCATCATCTTTTGAAAGGACTCTGTGACCCCCAAACAGTTATGAACACTTGTTTACCTGTCTAGTCCTAGTCTGATTTTTTTTTTTAGTTGTAGATGGACACATTACTTTTATTTTATTTATTTTTTTGGGGTGCTGAGGATCAAATCCAGTGCCTCACATATGCCCTTCATAGTCTGATTTTGTATGCTTTTTCCTTTTGTTTTTTTGTGTGATTTATATTTCACTTTTATGTTTTAGTTTTAAATTGTGTTATTGTTGTTGTTGTTGTTATTATTATTATTATTATTATTATTATTTTGAGACAGGGTCTCACTGTATTGCCCAGGTTGACCTTAAACTCCTGGGCTCAAGTGGTCTTCCTGCCTCAGTGTCCTGAGTAGCTGGGACTATAGGTGCACATTATCATGTCTGGCTTCTATTTCACTTTTTATATTTGTTTCTCTTTTTATGTATGTTGGTGTAGTTTTCTCAAATCTTCTTTTGAGAAATAGGCATTTTTAATAATTACATATTAAAAACTGTGCCTTTTAGTACCCTGTTTACCTCTTTTTTTTTTTTTTTTTTTAGAGAGAGTGGGGGGGGAGAGAGAGAGAGAATTTTTAATATTTTTTAGTTCTCGGCGGACACAACATCTTTGTTGGTATGTGGTGCTGAGGATCGAACCCGGGCTGCACACATGCCAGGCGAGCGCGCTACCGCTTGAGCCACATCCCCAGCCCTGTTTACCTCTTTTAATGCTTCTAGCTTCAACTTTTCCAAAATTGTGATTGAAGCCTCTTGCTTTTCTTGAATTTGCATTTGCATGATTGAGTTTAGTGTTTTACTTTTTTAACTTGTGTGTATATTTTGCTCTGTGTCTGTAACTTATAAACAGCAAATTGTTGAACTTTGTTTTCTGGTATTTATAAAATTATTTTCTTATTACTTAAGAAATTCTGTTATTAACATTTTATGCAAGTCATAATTAATTTTCAGCTTTATATTTTAAAATATATTAGCTCAATTAATCCAAATAGGCCATGCTCATTTCCAGCCCATCTCTATGAGTTATTAACCACATGTAGAGTGTTATTTCTGGGTAGACTAGAGGTCTGCCTGCTGCTGCCTCTCTCTGACTTCTTGCATTTGGGTTCAGTGTCACACTCTGCCTGGAGCTAACTTTTCAAGTCATAGCCAACAGCTTTAGTGTCCTTGGTTGTAAATATAGAAGAATGATGCCACTCTACAACCTTTTGGGGTTCAGAGGTGTACAGAAAGCAAACCTGTGTATTAAATTATGAGGTACAGCTGATTATTAAGCTACTGGTATTTTGAAAACTTTTTTGATGTGTAGTGCTGGGACTTGAATTGAGGGCCTTATATATAACAAACATGTACTCTACCATTAAGCAACACTCCAGTCTTATAATATATATTTTTAAGTTTTTATTCTCACTTCCAAAGTTGTTTTAACGTTACATTGTGCCTTCCTTTTTGGAAAATCTTGCAGATGTAGCAAAGAAGTACACATCCAAATCCATCCCACCTCCCTAAGTGAATCTGTAATGGTCATTTGAAGAGAAAGGGGGACCTTAGTCTCATCTCCCTTTCCTATCCCTTTTTTGTTTCTGCCCAGGCCTTCTCATGCCACTCCACCCACCCACACTGCCAGCACCTTCTTCAGTGGGAGGAGGGAAGTGCTGTCACAGCTGCAAAGGCTTATGAGAATGGTCACTTCTGTTTACTCCAGTTGCAGGTTGGGAAATTAAAGCTGATGACTTGCCCAAAGTATGTGGTGATTTAGTGTCAGATCTACCCAGCAACCATGGGGAAGAACACTTCTTAATATAATATTGGAGCCCTGGTGTGTTGTAATCCAGAACATGTCAGAGGTGACAAATGTGTTTAGCCATCACAGGCCATGGTTGCTCAGTTCTTGGGGATGAGTGGACATTCACCATCATCACATAAGGTGGATGTATTGATTTTCTGGGAGTGAGGAAAGATAAACCTTTTTCTCGTAGGAAAACTACCTTCTGATAGTGTCAGTATCTGATATCTCAGAAAAACATGTTATAAAGTTGCTTGGTGAGTGTGGAATTGGAGTATAAAATGATAGAGGATTTTGCCCCATGATGCTATGTGTGGACCACCACTACCACATCACAGAGACCAAACACTTGGTCTAGTTGTCAAAATATTGATTGGGGCATGTGCTGGAGAACATCTGTTTGCCTCACTCACTTTCTGCTTTTGTGGCTATCTGTGTTTCCTGAAGTCAGATGGCTTTCCACTATGCCACCCTCCTGGTGGTTCAAATGAGGGTGGTGAGGGAAGGAGGTGTTTCGAGTGCCCTCTGGTGGTTCTCTGCAAGCATTTGAAAGAGTTTTAGTAGATCACCAGAAGTCCAGAAGTTCTTCTTGTTGGCCTTCATTTTCTTTTCCTTCTTTTTTTCCCCCCTTGTCTTTAAATCCATCCCAGCTGCTGGACACTGTGATACATGCATGAAACACTAGTGTCTCAAGAGGCCGAGGAAGGAGGATTTCAAGTTCAAAGCCAGCCTCAGCAAAAGTGAGGTGCTAAGCAACTCAGTGAGACCCTGTCTCTAAATAGAATACAAAACAGGGCTGGGGTTGTGGCTCAGTGGTTGAGTGTCCCTGAGTTCAATCCCCAGTACCAAAAACAAAAGCAAACCAAAATTAAATCCCTCCTTTCCCTTGTTACTGATCCTGGCTTGGCTAGTTTGTCTTCCCCCCCTAGAGATGGCTGGAAGCACCTCTTACTTCTCTCCTCTCTACCTCTCTTAAATCTTCTAGTTCTTGCAACTCCAGAAATGAGAGGGTGTCACACCTAACCAAGCTAGGGTCAGTGTGTTCTCTACTTAATCCTCACATTCTCTCATTTCCCAGAAAAGGGAGAGATATCTCCTGGGTTTGGGACTCACCTCTCAGGACCATGGGACCACTTTTGACTACCCTCAAAAGTGAGGAGCTGTCCTGGGCTCACAGTAGGGGATGACCAGGGGACACAGGTCTTCCCTTGGAGGCGGGTGGTATGTATCCAAGGCTTATAAATGAGTTTTACCCCAAGACTTGAAGCCCTCTCCCATCAGTGCCCACTCCAGAAGCACTCAGCATGGTCTCCCTCTCTGTCCATCTTTCTTTCTACT